AGAGATTGAAGATGTGAGTTAGACAGTGTGGAATAGAGCCAGAGGGTAACTGAAATATTTGAGAGGGAACAGGGTCCGGGGGGAAGGTAAATTGTTGGGTGTTTAAAAAGAGTTTAGAGCCCCGTCTATGGTAGCGGGTTAAATGAGGGAAGTAATGAGTGTAACCCGTGGACAAAGGTTAGAGTGTTAAGTGGGGAAGGTATCTGCACAGCGGATATCTGAAATCTTTCTGAGACTTAGTCCTACACACATAGATCAGGGGGTGGGCAAACTTTTTGACTTGAGGGCCGCAATGGGTTCATATATTGGACCCGGGGGCCAGACCAGAGTAGATGAATGATGTGTATGTGTCATCCATTAGTAAGTAATAGTAATATTCCCCCATAGTAAGCATAGTAATTAATCCCCCATATAGTAATTTCATCCCCCATAGTAATTCATCCCCCATATTAGTAATTCATCCCCCATATAGTAATTCATCCCCCATTAATTCATCCCCCCATAGTAATTCATCCCCCATATAGTAATTCATCCCCCATAGTAATTCATCCCCCATATAGTAATTCATCCCCCATATAGTAATTCATCCCCCATAGTAATTCATCCCCCATATAGTAATTCATCCCCCATATAGTAATTCATCCCCCATAGTAATTCATCCCCCATATAGTAATTAATCCCCATAGTAATTCATCCCCCCCATAGTAATTCATCCCCCATATAGTAATTCATCCCCCATATAGTAATTCGATCCCCCATAGTAATTCATCCCCATATAGTAATTATCCCCCATATAGTAATTCATCCCCCATAGTAATTCATCCCCCATATAGTAATTCATTCCCCCATAGTAATTCATCCCCCATAGTAATTAATCCCCCATATAGTAATTCATCCCCCATAGTAATTCATCCCCCATAGTAATTCATTCAAGCTTACCTTTGCTCCCGCGCGTTCCTCTCGCCGTGTTCCCGCGCCGTTCCGGTCTTCAGGGCGGACTGTGAGAGGAGCCTAGCTCCCCTCACGTTCGTCACGCTGCCCCGCCTACACACATCCTGACAGCATCACGCTCCACGGGCCGGATTAAATGGCCATAGTTTGCCCATTGCTGCCATAGATGCTCAAGTGCGTGGCTATATATTTTTGTGACTTCTGGTATCATCTGTTTACTAAGGTTGTAGGGGTCAGGGCCTGATTCTATGTGTAGTGAGAGAGGCAAGCTCATTCAGGGTTTCTATGGGTAATTGTTAGGTGGTTGGCAGGAAAGGTGCTGGAAAGACAGGGGAGAGAGTGAAACTAGTAAGGTAGTGATCAGAGAGATGAAAAGGATTGTTGGAAAGGTTGCATGGAGGATACAAGGTCAAGGGTGTTGCCATCAGAATAAGTAGAAGACTGTATCCATTGCTTTAGGTCAAAAGAGGAAGTTAAGCTGAGAAGTTTAGAAGTAACATGAGTGTTTGTATTAACAGGGATGCTAAAGTCACTGAGAATAATTGTGTGAATTTCAAAAAGTGAGGAAGTAGAATAGCCAGGCAGAGAAGTCATCAAGGAAAGTTGATACTGGTCCAGGGGTTGGTAGATCACAGCAATTCTTAAACCATTTGCCGCCCAATAGCCAATGGCCGTTTGGCGGCTTCAAAGTTGCTTCTCCACTCCGGGTGCACGCCATTTGGCGTGCTCCCGCACATGCGCCGTTTGCGCTAATGCAGAGCAGCGCAGCGGCTCGATCTGTCACCGGGCGTGCACCTCGGACACGGCCGATGACAGATCTGAGTACCGGCCCCCGTTGCAGGTACCATGTGACCTGCTGTGACCAATCACAGCAGGTCACATGACAGTTGTATACAATGGATGGCTTTTCATTCATGATGCCATCCATTGTATACCTAGTGCCTAGCTGTGAATGGTCACAGCTAATCACATGCACATGTCATGTGATTAGCTGTGACCAAATCACATGCACATGTCATGTGATTAGCTGTGACCAAATCACAGCTAAGCACAAAAAAAAAAAAAGCTGAATGAATCGATTTCATTCAGGTAAATGCTTGCTTATAGCAAAGTATTTCTTTGCTATAAGCAAATTGTGTAAAAAAAAAAAAAAAAAAAAATACTGATCACTTTTTCCCAAAGTAGTATAATGTTACTATGGTAACATTGTACTATTTTGGTCATAGTAAAATATGAAAAAAAAATGTTAAAAAAAAAAAAAAGTAATAAAAAATTAAAAATAATAAAAAAATAAAAAAAAATAAAAAAAATAAATATATATATTTTTTTTTTCATACTGTCACCAGTCAGTGTCCCTGTTCACCGCCATTCCAGTTTATATCCAGGTTATTGATGACGCTTGTACTGCACTGGTGACAGTATGTAAAAAAAAAATAGTGAAAATAATTTTTTTAATTTTTTCATTTTCCGAAAAATTATGACAAAAAAAATACAACTTCAAAAAAATTCGCCATGCCTATTATGAAAAAAAAAAAAACTGTCTACTTTGCAAAAAGGGTCATTTGGGGGGAGTATCTGTACTGTCCTGATCATTTGGGGTGTTATCTGTACTGTCCTGACATTTGGGGGCATATCTGTACTGTCCTGACATTTGGGGGGATATAACTGTTAGCCTGTCCTGACATTTGGGGGGTGTATCTGTACTGTTCTGACATTTGGGGGCATATCTGTCCTGTCCTAACATTTGGGGGATATCTGTCCTGTTCTGACATTCTTGGACCTCAAGAAATTAGATTGGCCGTCAGTACTTCAGGATTGATCAATAATCAGATCTATACCTAGTTTTCATGAACTCTATAACTTTCCTACAAACTAAATAATACATCCTAATTTGGGTTATTTTCACCAAAGACATGGAGCAGAATACATCTCGGCCTAAATTTATGAAGAACAATTATTTATTTGTAAATTTTTTGCTATAACGGAAACAAAGAAAAAAACGTATTTTTTTTTTTCAAACATTTTTGGACTTTTTTTGTAATTTAGCAAAAAATAAAAAACCCAGCGGTGATTAAATACCACCAAAAGAAAGCTCTAGTTGTGTGAAGAAAATGAAAAAATTTTAGTTTGGGTACAGTGTTGTATGACCGCAGCAATTGTCATTCAAAGTGTGAGAGCGCTGAAACATGAAAAATGGCCTGGGCAGGAAGGGGGAAAATTGCACGGTATTGAAATGGTTAAAGAAATCGGAGAAAATAGATGAATACAGTGAGCTTCAAATGATGAGACGAACAGAGAGGGAGGAGAGTGAAGAACCTGAAAGTTGCTCTGTGGGGATAGGAGGATTCCCACTGCATCTCCCTCCCATTCACTGGGTCTGGGAAAATGAGTCCATAGAAGGCCACCATAAGAGAAGGAAACAGGAGAAGCAGTGGCAGATTCATGAAGCCAGGTTTAAGTAACATCAAGTAGATTAAAGGGGTTGGTGAGAAAAAGGTCATGGACAGAAGTGAGTTTGTTTACAGACAGAGCATAAGGCATTCCAAAGGGTACAGGAGAAGGGGAGGCTGGTTTTGGGAAGAAGAAGAATGAAAACAAAATTGCGTGGTTGCGGCTGCTGCCAGAGGGTGCAGGGTGATCGGTGCCTTGGTTACAGTTAAATGATGGAGGCCCCAGGATTTGGGAAAATATCTCCAGAAGTTATGAGAAGCAGAAGGGTGAGGGAAGTAAATATGTGAGTGTGATGCAGCAGCAGCAGCAGAGATGTATAGCTTACCTGTGAATGGACAGAGAATAGATGCTCAGATGAGCAAGAGCGGAAGTGCCACCTAAATAACTACTTTAGTACCGGGCACTTCCCCCCCATTCCTGCCCAGACTAATTTTCAGCTTTCAGCACTGCATGGGCTTTTGATTGACAATTGCGCGGTCATGCCATACTGTACCCAAATAAAATTTTTTTATCATTTTTTCACACAAATAGAGCTTTCTTTTGGTGGTGGTATTTAATTGCCGCTGAGTTTTAATGTTTTTGCTAAATAAATGAAAGAAAAAAAAAGATCGAAAACATTGAAAAAAAATATGTTTTTCTTCTTTCTATTATAAAATTTAGTAAAATAATTATTGTTCTTTATAAATTTAAACCAAAATGCATTCTGATATATTTTTTCTTTGGTGAAAATAACCCAAATCAATGTATGTTATTAAGTCTGTAGGAAAGTTATAGAGTCCACAAACCACGGGTTATATATCTGAATATTGATCAATCCTGTTGTACTAACGGTCCATCTCATTTCATGAGGCCCTAAAATATCCCTAATATCCCCCAAATTACCATTTTTTTTTGGGAAGTAGATAGTCCAAGGTAATTAGTAAGAGCCATGGCAAAGTTTTTTTGAAGTTGTAATGTTTTGTCATAATTTTTTTAAAAAATTAAGAAATGTAAAAAAAAAAAAAAAAAAAAACTTTTTTCTTTACATACTGTCATCAGTGCAGTACAGTGTCATCATATAACTGGTGTTATATGATAGTGACTGAGTACTAACAGCATGTAATACAGCATTTATTTATAGTTTTACATAAATGATGTGGGTTTAACCCTTTCCCGCCGCCCTATAGCAGATTTACTGCTGCAGGGCGGCAGGGGTGTGCAAAATCACATATATATATATATATATATATATATATATATATATAATACACATGATTTTGCATTTCCTAGGGACCCTACCTGCGTCGCCATTGGTGATCTCAACTGTTGATCACTGGGTCCCGGTTGGCAGTCCCTTAGTATCACTGATGGGGGAGAGGTGTGTATGTAAACAATATAGACCTCTCCCCTGTCAGCTCCTGCACTCTGAAAAGCAGAGCAATACAAAGCAATGTGTTGACACAGTAAAGCACACACAGCACACAGTTAACCCTTTGATTGCTGCAGATGTTAACCCCTTCCTGCCCAGTGCCATTAGGACCACATAGGGGGAAATGCCTAGCAGCCCACTCTTTCTCTGTTTAGGCTGCATAAAACATCAGAAAATGTTGATTTTTTTTCCAGGTAACCTTGTTCCTCTAGATGAAAAAGTGGAATGGACAAAAGAGTATGAGCAAATAATCACAAGTATGGAAGACCCAGATGTGATGCCAAATTACACCGACATCACTGTGCCAATATTTGTTTATAGGTAAGCAAAGCAAATGTGTGAAGGTGTCCAGCTGGTTATTTTATGGACACTTGGTCAGGTAACGTTCTCACCCATGATAGTGGTTCCATCCTTACTTGTCAATGTAGCTATGGATCGCTGATTTGCAGCCAGTTTTTGGGTGGATAGGAGGCAATGCTATCACCTCCTGAATGCCTATTTTTCATTCCCAAGGAAGATTTGACATGGAAATACTGTGCTTCGACCACCATAGCAATTGGCTTGTGGTTGCACATCTTTGATTGAGTGGATTGGACCATTAGTGGAATACATTTTTCATTTTCTAAGTTTTACCGAGAGAAACATAAAGGAAGAGAAAATGACAAAGATTGTTTGTGAACCAAAAAAAAAAAGTGGTAGCAAAAAAAATGTAGGTACTGCTCTAGGTGGGTCCTAGTCCAATGTCAACCACTATGAGTGACAGCCAGGAACAGAGCTTGTCTTTGGCTCCAAACATCAATATGTAGCAGGAAAGGTGTCCCATAAATTGCACATTTCTGCAAATCCACTGTGAAGGAGTATGTGACAGTCCCAGCTCCCTAGCCCCCCCCCCCCCCCCTGAGCTTATTTATAGGGAAGATGATTGCATGATTAATGTTTGGGGGGGCAGAGCAAAACGTTTTGGGACATGGCCTGGCCAGAGCCCATGCTGAGGCTGCCACATACATAAAATCTGTGTTTTAAGCTTTCTCTGGATTTTGTAATCCAGGATTGGGGCCTGGAGATTGAAGGTTCCAAAGTGCCTTGGGTGGGATCTAACCTTCAAACTCAGGTGTACCGGACCATTATAATCCAAACCTGAGGATAGCTCAGGGCTCCCGGAGTCGGAGTCAGGAGGTCTCAGCACAGGAGTCAGGTGGGCTCCTATCAAGAGGTCAGAGTGTGGACCGGTGCAGCACGGAGCTGTCAGTAAGAGAACCAAGGAAGAGGAGAGAGAGGCACAGAACCTGGAGTTTGTGACATGGAGTGTCTCAAGACAGAAGCCTGTACAGCCAAGTTGGCAGTTTGTGTTTGCTGGAAAGCGAAAAGGAGACCAAAGAGATCAGCGGTGCTGCCAACCAGGGAGCCAGGTAGCTCGGCATTTTCCAGCAATAAAAGTGGGCTGCCTCGTCTCTAAACTGAAATTTGGACTGATATGTCTCACTTGTCAAACTCATCACATGAGCTAATGATCCCCCCAGATCACAATAGGGATTTATTTGATTTTTTAAGCCAAATGTATGTCATTATGACATCATCAGCGCCATTATTATCTCAGAGCCGAGTCAGTTAGTTTTAACCAAATTCTAAAAACTATCCTCTCTCAAGGTCTATGTTCATGACTTTTGGTTCCAGTGATGTCCATATTTGGAAATCCACCTCCTGTCTTGCTGGTAGTGGACTTGCCTGTTGAGGGCAGAGGTCAGCTAGATGGCTGTTACAGGAGTCCACCTCCCCTGTCCCTTGGCCGGGAGCTCCCCCATCCCCTCTTCCCTTTCCCCTCCCTTCTCCTCCCTACCCTTTTCCTTCCTCTTCCTTTACCTCACCCCCCTCTTTTTTATCTCTCTCTCTATTCTCTCTTTCCTTCATGTTCCCTTAAAGTGTTACTAAACCCACGGCAATACAATCAGTCTGTAGATGCAGTAATGCATGCTGTTATACTCACTATGGAACCTAAGGGGTTAATCCTTTGCATTGTGTAAAAAAGGCTGTTTGATCCTGTTTTCCATGATCCTCCCCTTCTTCCAGTGTCACCCATTTATCTCCTGATAAGACATATCGTGTGGAGTCACTCTGCACATGCTCAGTTTGGTGTGTATTGCTAGAGAGGTTTTTTTTTTTAATCTTGGGAGAGTAATGTGATTAGTACAGGGCCAATCAGCACTGTCCAGATAGAGGTCAGGGGTTCTGCATCCTAGCAGAATGAAAACTCCTGCTACAAGCTTTAAGCAGTGCTCTGCTGGACACTGATAGAAATCACAAGACTGCTATATACTGCTGATGAGAAAAGGGATTTAGCAGTTTATATTTGCTAAATAAATGTTGTGTGTACTGTGGGAGACCAGATATAGTGAATGCAGGGTCCGGGGAGAGTGGATATAGTGATTGCGGGTCCTGGGAGAGTGGATATAGTGAATGTGGGGTCCAGGGAGAGTGGATATAGTGAATGCGGGGGGGTCGGGGAGAGGGGATAGTGAATGCGGGGAGAGGGGATGTAGTGAATGCAGGGTCTGGGGAGAGCGGATATAGTGAATGCGGGGTCCCGGGGAGAGCGGATATAGTGAATGCAGGGTCCGGGGAGAGCGGATATAGTGAATGCGGGGTCCGGGGAGAGCGGATATAGTGAATGCAGGGTCCGGGGAGAGAGCGGATATAGTGAATGCGGGGTCCAGGGAGAGTGGATATAGTGAATGCGGGGTCCGGGGAGAGCGGATATAGTGAATGCGGGGAGAGGGGATGTAGTGAATGCAGGGTCTGGGGAGAGCGGATATAGTGAATGCGGGGTCCGGGGAGAGCGGATATAGTGAATGCAGGGTCCGGGGAGAGCGGATATAGTGAATGCGGGGTCCGGGGAGAGCGGATATAGTGAATGCAGGGTCCGGGGAGAGCGGATATAGTGAATGCGGGGTCCAGGGAGAGTGGATATAGTGAATGCGGGGTCCGGGGAGAGGGGATATAGTGAATGCAGGGTCCGGGGAGAGCGGATATAGTGAATGCAGGGTCCAGGGAGAGTGGATATAGTGAATGCGGGGTCCGGGAGAGTGGATATAGTGAATGCGGGTCCGGGGAGAGGGGATATAGTGAATGCGGGGTCCGGGGAGAGGGGATATATAGTGAATGCGGGGTCCGGGGAGAGCGGATATAGTGAATGCGGGGTCCGGGGAGAGCGGATATAGTGAATGCGGGGTCCGGGAGAGTGGATATAGTAATGAGGTGAGATGAAGTGAATGTCCGGGGAGATCGGATATAGTGAATGCAGGGTCCGGGGAGAGCGGATATAGTGAATGCGGGGTCCGGGGAGAGCGGATAAAGTGAATGCAGGGTCCGGGGAGAGCGGATATAGTGAATGCGGGGTCCGGGGAGAGCGGATATAGTGAATGCGGGGGTCCGGGGAGAGCGGGATAAAGTGAATGCGGGGTCCGGGGAGAGCGGATATAGTGAATGCGGGGTCCGGGGAGAGCGGATATAGTGAATGCAGGGTCCGGGGGAGAGCGGATATAGTGAATGCGGGGTCCGGGGAGAGCGGATATAGTGAATGCGGGGTCCGGGGAGAGTGGATAAAGTGAATGCAGGTCCGGGGAGAGCGGATATATAGTGAATGCGGGGTCCGGGGAGAGCGGATATAGTGAATGCGGGGTCCGGGGAGAGCAGTGATATAAGTGAATGCGGGGTCCGGGGAGAGCGGATATAGTGAATGCAGGGTCCGGGGAGAGCGGATATAGTGAATGCGGGGTCCGGGGAGAGCGGATATAGTGAATGCAGGGTCCGGGGAGATCGGATATAGTGAATGCGGGGTCCGGGGAGAGCGGATATAGTGAATGCAGGGTCCGGGGAGAGTGGATAAAGTGAATGCGGGGTCCGGGGAGAGCGGATATAGTGAATGCAGGGTCTGGGGTTTAATAACACTTTGGGGTTGATTTACTAAAGCTCACTAAACTGTGCACTTTGCAAAAGCAGTTGCTCCAGAGCTTGAAAAAATAGGTAACTGGTTTCCCGCCCTTTGGTATACTTATATATGTATGATATTAACTAGACTGGATACTGGATACCAATAATAATATGAACACTACCTCAATCAAATAGAGTGCACATTTAAATACAATAAAAGTGATAATCAATGTGTGCAAAAAAAAAAAAATATTTTTAAAATTATCTTTAAAATTATTTTCAAAAATTATCTTAAAAATAATAGAAATAAATTTTGCAACAAAATAATATAAATCAAATAAAGGTAAGTACTGATGCCAAAAAAATATTAGAAAGTGAAAAGGAAAATTATGCAACAAAAAATAAAATAAAAAGTAAACAAAATATAAAAAATTCCTAAACAATACAAACATGTGCAAAAAACGTGTTCAAACTATAAATATTATATTATTGCCCAATTTCTGTGTCCAAACATAATCTGTGGTGGGATCCTTGCTTAAATGTCAACACTTATATGCGCTCACCTCCCTGTTAGCCTGTTGCTAGGCTAACACAGCTTTGGTGTGATTAGAATAGTAGAAATCCCCTGGAGCTTCCCTGGATTTTCCTGAATAGATTGCTTCTCTTAGGAGCTTGATGGTTAGGCTTCCTTACATAGGCTGTATAGGCTTCCATCCCCAAAGTTTCCTTGTTAGTATAGTCAGGGAGAAAAAAGAAGGATATGGTGCCTTATCATTTTAAAAAAGGTGTTTTTAATACTCTTTAAATACTTCCAGACCGTCAGGGCCCCAGGGTATGACCAGGGGTAATGTTTCAGACTTTCAGCGCTATCAGACTTTGAATGACAATTAAACATGCAACACTGTAACACAAATTAATACATAAATTTTTTTTTTAGACTAAAACATATTTATTTTGGTGGTATTTATTCACCAAACTGGGATTTTTACAGATTTTTTGCAAAAATGAAAAAGTCCAAATATTTTGAACAAAAGTGTTTTTTTTTATAAAGGAGGTTTGCAAACGTAAAATGGGGTTAAGCATCAGAATCTTTGTCAAAAATTCCGTTATCAGAGCAAAAATGGTCAGAAAAAAAAACAAATTAGAGCAGGAAAAAATAGAAAAAACATTTTTCAGAGCAGGATTTTATGGTCAGAACAAAGCCAGGGATCAGAGCATTTTAATGGTTTTTTTTTTTACAAAGCTGGGATCAGAGCAGGAGAATGGTCAGACAAACACTGGGACTACAGAGGTGGTGATGAAGATTTTTTTTTTTTTTTTTTTTAGCCAGGGCTTTTATAGCCATATAATGATGTAAAAGCAGGGATCATTTCTCTTTCTCTCTGTCAGCAAAGCCAGGGATCTCATTGAGAAATGGTCAGTGAGCTGTGATTGGGATCACAGCTTGTCAATGGTCAGACAAAGCCAGGTGATCAGAGCTTGTACCATGTGACCTCTGTGACAAAGCACAGATTTCACACAGGTAAGCAATGATGTCAGACAAAGTGACATCTTCAGCACTACTTTGCATGTGGTCAGACTGATTGCCAATCAGTGAGGGTCAGCAACGAATAAGACAGGAACAGTAACAGAGATTGCAGACGATCAGTGTTACTGTGTCCCAGGAGGAACACACACGGGCACCGAGTCTCGCGATGCTGCGCGCTCCCATCCCTTAAATACACCAGCATAAGCAGGTGTGCGGGCAGGCCGTTGAGTCATGATTGCTGGGAACGGCCGCCCAGACCCTGGTACTGCCACCGTCCCATAGGCCATTTATAGTACCCACGGCCGTGGCCAGAAGTGGTTAAATACACTCACATGTATAAAATAACATAAGTGCTTTGTAATATACAAAATCCCTCTGTAGAGATGTGACAAGCTTCCTCTGTATAACCGCATGCACAGTCTATACTCGCCATATCTAGAATGATTGAAGTTGGGTTGCCCTGGTGACGTCAATGCCCCTCCCCAACGCGTTGCGTCACAGGGTCACGTGGCTTCTTCCGGGGGATATGATGCTCCACAGCTTAGTAAATGAGCAGAAGCTCTGCTGACTTCCATCATCTAATCATGTGCAAGCAAAAATGCTCTTTTCTATTTTCCTGGCATGTGATTGGGTATTCTTTGCAAAGTGAATCTATTACCTCATTCACTAAGCTCTGGAGTAACTGCACGTTGCAAAGTGCACATTCTATTTGCCTTTAGTAAATCAACCCCTCTAACTTTCTTACCCCAACTCACATTTCTGTTAATACTTACCCTCCCAAGTTGTCTTTTTTCCATAAGTCACAGTAATTGATCAGTGAAGGACTCCCTCTCCTTTTTGCTGCTGTGGAATTGCTGTATTGATGCAACTAAAATTGCACCAGAGACTCGGCCTGCTACTCACTTTCTAAGTTGTTGGGCCCTTATCCCAGCAGCCAAGGAATGGCCACTACCCTTCATTGTCTCTTCTTGGTTTATTGTGCTCGTCCGTACTACACTCACCGGACACTTTATTAGGTCCACCTTGCTAGTATCGGGTTGGACCCCCTTTTGCCTTCAGAACGGCCTTCATTCTTGGTGGCATAGATTAAACAAGGTGTTGGAAAAATTCCTCAGAGATTTTGATCCATATCGCACAGTTGTTGTTGGCTGCACATCCATGAACCATTGATACAAGGCAGGATGGATCCATGCTTTCATGTTGTTTACACCAAATTCTGACCCTACCATCTGAATGTCACAGCTGAAACCTGGACTCCTCAGACCAGGCAGCATTTTTCCAATCTTCTGTTGCCCAATTTTGGTGATCCTGTGCGAATTGTAGCCTCCATTTCCTGTTCTTAGCTGACAGGAGTGGCACCCGATGTGGTCTTCTGCTGCTGTAGCCCATCTGCTTCAAGGTTGGACATGTTGTGCATTCAGAGATGGTATTCTGCATACCTTGGCTGTAACGAGGGGTTATTAGAGTTACAGCCGCCTTTCTATCATCTCCAACCAGTCTGTCTGTTCTCCTCTAACATCAGCCAGGCATTTTCCTCCAGACTTAATGAAGAAGATTGGTATAGCCGACACTTGTTTTGCTGAATAATAAACTTTATTGAATGAGTATAATGTGTATATAACATGGCTTCTTGTGTCTTTCTGTCATCTGGAATCAGTCTGCCCATTCTCCTCTGAACTCTGACATCAACAAAGCATTTTCCTCCACACAACTGCCACTCACTGGATATTTTCTCATTTTCGGACCATTCTCTGTAAACCCTAGGGATGGTTGTGTGTGAAAATCTCAGTAGATCAGCAGTTTCTGAAATACTCAGACCAGCCAGTCTAGCAATAACAACCATGCCACATTCAAATTCACTTAAATCCCCTTTCTTTCCCATTCTGATGCTTCGTTTGAACTTCAGCAAGTCGTCTTCACCACGTCTAGATGCCTAAATGCATTGAGTTGCTGCCATGTGATTGGCTGATTAGCAATTTGTGTTACCAAGCAATTGAACAGGTGGACCTAATAAAGTGGCCGGTGAGTGTATGTTCTATGGCCTTTTAGGCCTCTGGGTATTGCATTGAAATTGAATAAAATCTTTATGAATCTATAAATGATCCTTGATGGCATGTTGTAGATAGCCTCAGGCACTGCTCCAGCCACACACACTGACGCGTTTCGCCCCGCCCATCAGGGTTTGGTCACAGATGTCTGGTTGAAGCGGCGGCTGAGGCCATCTGCAACATGTCATCATTGTTTGACTCAGGGGTTCGGTTTTGTGCGGCGTCCACTTCTTCATATGCCATATCAGTTTCTGGAATAATCTGGAATAACCTGTGCTTTCTCTGCCGGCAGGGTGACTTTTACCAGTACCAGCTACGAGCCTTAAGTGGCACCACAAGTCTCCCACATGGTGTATAAATGATCCTTGCTGTCCTCAAGTATCAACCTCTCAAAAAATGTGCAATATTTGTTACAGCGTGAAGAGGAACCTCGCAACACATGAAGAACAGGAGATCAAATCATTCCTTACCAACTGCCGCAATTTAACAGGTACAGATTCAGGGAATGTCTTGTATTTTGCTAATAGCCAAATGAAAACATTGTTATTCTTGGATCTAGATTTAGAACTGGGGAAGTTGCTACATCAAGCAGACCAGCTATAGGGCCTCATAGGGGTCTCAGATCTGTTCTGAGGATCTTGGATCAGAGGATTGATTGCATGAGAATTGACAAGACTGTTAACCATCTATGCTTACTATAGAGTAGTGGTGGTCAATTTACAAATGATCCAGAGCCTCAATTGTGGCCCCTGACACTCAGTGGGTCACACAAAAGCACATTGCATCAAATTAGAATTATCAGTCAGATTATTCCAAATGAATGGGTTGTAATATACCAAAGTTTCCTTTCTGCTGAATGTATTTAATTGTACAGCAACTCATACTAAAGAGAAAGTTGGAGTACAATAATTCCTATTATTGATGTCAATAAAAACTCCCAGCACTGGTGTTAGTGGACACAGTGGACACAGAATTGTTGTCAGCAACCATAATTATAACTCCTAGCTTTGGTGATAGTGGATGCTGTAACAGCCCCAACAAAAGTCAGTGCCTACAGTAATAACCCCCAACACTGGTGACAATGGCAGTGATAATAATACTCAGTATTGGCATTTGTGGAGGCAGCATTAGTGTCAGTGCCAACAATAATAACCCCCAGCATTAGTGTCAGTGCCAGCAATAATAGCTCCCAGCATTAGTATCAATGCCAGCAATAATAACCCCCAGCATTAGTGTCAGTGCCAGCAATAATAACCCCCAGCATTAGTGTCAGTGCCAGCAATAATAACCCCCAGCATTAGTGTCAGTGCCAGCAATAATAACCCCCAGCATTAGTGTCAGTGCCAGCAATAATAACCCCCAGCATTAGCGTCAGTGCCAACAATAATAACCCCCAGCATTAGCGTCAGTGCCAACAATAACCCCCAGCATTAGCGTCAGTGCCAACAATAATAACCCCCAGCATTAGCGTCAGTGCCAACAATAATAACCCCCAGCATTAGCGTCAGTGCCAACAATAACCCCCAGCATTAGCGTCAGTGCCAGCAATAACCCCCAGCATTAGTGTCAGTACCAGCAATAATAACCCCCAGCATTAGTGTCAGTACCAGCAATAATAACCCCCAGCATTAGCGTCAGTACCAGCAATAATAATCCCCAGCATTAGCGTCAGTGTCAGCAATAATAACCCCCAGCATTAGTGTCAGTGTCAGCAATAATAACCCCCAGCATTAGTGTCAGTGCCAGCAATAATAACCCCCAGCATTAGTGTCAGTGCCAGCAATAATAACCCCCAGCATTAGTGCCAGTACCAGCAATAATAACCCCAGCATTAGTGTCAGTACCAGCAATAATAACCCCCAGCATTAGTGTCAGTGCCAACAATAATAACCCCCAGCATTAGCGTCAGTGCCAACAATAATAACCCCCAGCATTAGCGTCAGTGCCAACAATAACCCCCAGCATTAGCGTCAGTGCCAGCAATAACCCCCAGCATTAGTGTCAGTACCAGCAATAATAACCCCCAGCATTAGTGTCAGTACCAGCAATAATAACCCCCAGCATTAGCGTCAGTACCAGCAATAATAATCCCCAGCATTAGCGTCAGTGTCAGCAATAATAACCCCCAGCATTAGTGTCAGTGTCAGCAATAATAACCCCCAGCATTAGTGTCAGTGTCAGCAATAATAACCCCCAGCATTAGTGTCAGTGCCAGCAATAATAACCCCCAGCATTAGTGCCAGTACCAGCAATAATAACCCCAGCATTAGTGTCAGTACCAGCAATAATAACCCCCAGCATTAGTGTCAGTGCCAGCAATAATAACCCCCAGCATTAGTGTCAGTGTCAGCAATAATAACCCCTCAGCATTAGTGTCAGTGCCAGCAATAATAACCCCAGCATTAGTGTCAGTGCCAGCAATAATAACCCCAGCATTAGTGTCAGTGCCAGCAATAATAACCCCCAGCATTAGTGTCAGTGCCAGCAATAATAACCCCCAGCATTAGTGTCAGTGTCAGCAATAATAACCCCCAGCATTGGCATCAGTGCCAGCAATAATAACCTCCAGCATTAGTGTCAGTGCCAGCAATAATAACCTCCAGCATTAGCGTCAGTGCCAGCAATAATAACCTCCAGCATTAGCGCAGTGTCAGCAATAATAACCCCCAGCATTATGTCAGTGTCAGCAATAATAACCCCCAGCATTAGTGTCAGTGTCAGCAATAATAACCCCCAGCATTAGTGTCAGTGTCAGCAATAATAACCCCCAGCATTAGTGTCAGTGTCAACAATAATAACCCCCAGCATTAGTGTCAGTACCAGCAATAATAACCCCCAGCATTAGTGTCAGTGCCAGCAATAATAACCCCCAGCATTAGTGTTAGTGTCAGCAATAATAACTCCTCAGCATTAGTGTCAGTGCCAGCAATAATAACCCCAGCATTAGTGTCAGTGCCAGAAATAATAACCCCAGCATTAGTGTCAGTGTCAGCAATAATAACCCCCAGCATTGGTAGTGTCAGTGCCAGCAATAATAACCCCAGCATTAGTGTCAGTGCCAGCAATAATAACCTCCAGCATTAGCGTCAGTGCCAGCAATAATAACCTCCAGCATTAGCGTCAGTGTCAGCAATAATAACCCCCAGCATTAGTGTCAGTGTCAGCAATAATAACCCCCAGCATTAGTGTCAGTGTCAACAATAATAACCCCCAGAATTAGTGTCAGTACCAGCAATATAAACCCCCAGCATTAGTGTCAGTACCAGCAATAATAACCCCCAGCATTAGTGTCAGTGCCAGCAATAATAACCCCAGCATTAGTGTCAGTGTCAGCAATAATACCCCCCAGCATTAGTGTCAGTGCCAGCAATAATAACCCCCAGCATTAGTGTCAGTGCCAGCAATATTAACCCCCAGCATTAGTGTCAGTGCCTGCAATAATAACCCCCAGCATTAGTGTCATTACCAACAATATCAACCCCCAGCATTAGTGTCAGTGCCAGCAATAATAATCCCCAGCATTAGTGTCAGTACCAGCAATAATAACCCCCCGCATTAGCGTCAGTGCCAGCAATAATAACCCCCAGCATTAGTGTCAGTGCCAGCAATTATAACCCCCAGCATTAGTGTCAGTACCAGCAATAATAACCCCCAGCATTAGCGTCAGTACCAGCAATAATAACCCCCAGCATTAGCGTCAGTACCAGCATAATAACCCCCAGCATTAGTGTCAGTACCAGCAATAATAACCCCCAGCATTAGCATCAGTACCAGCAATAATAATCCCCAGCATTAGTGTCAGTACTGTTAACCCCCTGGCCTTGCATTGCTGGCCTGTAGTACAGATTTCAACCTCCTGCCATTATTGTATTTTGGTTTTGTGTTGCTCTAGGCAAGGCTAAAATCAGGCACCCCCTCATCTAAATTTGTCCCACCTCTTTCTGTTTAAGACCCACCCCTTAATCTGTAAACTCCATGCTTTTCTCTTTAGGTTCTGCATCAGGAGTTGGTAAGAAACTGTAGACATAGTACAGCTGATAATCAGAGACTGCAGACCTATTACAGGAGATGGTCAAAGACTGCTGACATACTACAGTAGATGGTTAGAGAATGTGGACAGGATACAGGAGACGGTCAGAGATTGTGGACAAGATACAGGAGATAGTCAGAGACTACGGACATACTATAGGAGACCATCAGAGACTGCAGACATACTACAGGAGACCGTCAGAAACTGCGGACAGGACACAGGATTCTGCGGACAGGATACAGGATTCTGCGGACAGGCTACAGGAGACTGTGGACAGGACACAGGATTCTGTGGACAGGATACAGGAGACTGTGGACAGGACACAGGATTCTGCAGACAGGATACAGGAGACTGCGGACAGGACACAGGATTCTGCGGACAGGACACAGGATTCTGCGGACAGGATAGAGGATTCTGCGGACAGGACACAGGATTCTGCTGACAGGACACAGGATTCTGCGGACAGGACACAGGATTCTGCGGACAGGATACAGGAGTCTGCGGTTAGGATACAGGAGATGGTCAGCTGAGCCCGTCTGAACACTGCCAAGCCCACTTTTTCACCCAAGAACTGCCTAACCTGCCTTCCCCGCTCGAGCACTGAGTATTGCCGAGCCCTCCCCCTGCTCGAGAACTGCTGAGCCCCCTGCCTAAACCCTGCCTCCTGCCCAAGCCCTGCCTAGCTCTCCGGCCCTTCAAGTCCTGGTCCCTTCTGCCTGGGGTTGGCACTGCCCCCTGCAAAATGCTGCCCCAAGGCAAACGCTCCTGCCCCCTCCCTCTCCTGCATTGGTGGTCAGTGAAAAGAATGTTTAACTGCTCTTGCAATGCTGGTCAGTGGCAGCGTTATGAACTCCCCTTCCCCTGCATTGGTGGTCCTTGCCTGATCATATGCTCCCACATTGCTTTCTCTCCCCCCCTCCCAGCTGAGGCTAAACCTGTTCTGTTGTAATAAGATCACCCCATCTGAGAGTACTACATGTCTTCTTTTAGATCCAGGAGCTAAAATTTAAGCAGAGTTCCAGCACCTGGCACCTGCTACCACTCTGCAAAACAACTGCTGCCCAATGGTGGCAAAATTAGCCCAGGGCACTAAATGCTGCCATCCACGTGTCCAGAACCAGGGCCGTAAAGCCATGGCCATTTCTTGTTCCAAGCCTGTCTTCAGTTGATATAATGGACATGGCAAATTTTGGATTTGACTGCAAAAGAAGTAAACATTTTTTATTTCTAGTTTTGTTTCCAAAAAGGTTCATACATGTTGCAATCTGATGGTATAACCTCCTTTTGATCTACTAACAAGTATGTTTGCCTACCTGAATGGATACAAATTCAATGGGCTGTTATGGTAGAACCTCATACTATGTATCATTTTTGGTAGATCTAAAGGTGGTTGTACAGAGATTGTCAAACTTTATACAGAAGGCAAACATATAATAATCACAATGATAATATATACAGTATATATACAGTATATATATATATATATATATATATATATATATTTTTTTTTTTTTTAGTTCCTGCAAATGCATTCCTATGTGACAGAAAGAAAAAAATGTTTGACCACCAAGTTTTTATTGTCTGTTGCAGGGTTTCTCATCCAGGGTTCCATGGACCTCTAGGGTTGCTAGGGGTTCCTTGGTCAATGAGCAGTTTCTGCCTCTCAGATAAGTTCCCACTGACACCATCACCATATCTTTTTAGCTATCTGTAAGATGGGAATTCTTCCCGCTGACCACCAATGTAAGGGACATTCTTCCCACTGACCTCCCAATGTAAGGGACATTCTTCCCACTGACCCCCAATGTTAGGGACATTCTCCCCACTGATCACCAATGTAAGGGACATTCTTCCCACTGACCCCCAATGTAAGGGACATTCTTCCCACTGACCCCCAATGTAAGGGACATTCTTCCCACTGATCACCAATGTAAGGGACATTCTTCCCACTGACCCCCAATGTAAGGAACATTCTTCCCACTGACCCCCAATGTAAGGGACATTCTTCTCACTGATCACCAATGTAAGGGACATTCTTCCCACTGACCCCCAATGTAAGGGACATTCTTCCCACTGATCACCAATGTAAGGGACATTCTTCCCACTGACCCCCAATGTAAGGGACATTCTTCCCACTGACCCCCAATGTAAGGGGCATTCTTCCCACTGATCACCAATGTAAGGGACATTCTTCCCACCGATCACCAATGTAAGGGGACATTCTTCCCACCGACACCAATGTAAGGGACATTTTCCCACCGATCACCAATGTAAGGGACATTCTTCCCACCGATCACCAATGTAAGGGACATTCTTCCCACCGATCACCAATGTAAGGGATATTCTTCCCATTGATCACCAATGTAAGGGACATTCTTCCCATTGACCACCAATGTAAGGAACATTCTTCCCATTGACCATGACACTAATGTATCATGAGTTGTAGATATAGTATTTCTTAGCAGGGGTTCCCTGAGACCGGACAGTTATTTCAAGGGTTCCTGTGTGTTGCAAAGGTTGAGAGAAAGGCCGGTCTATTGTTTTAAGTGGCGTGGATTGAAGATAAGTATTCTTGCCCTCGGAGATTGGCTTCTCTATTGTCAATGGGGCAGAGCCTAGTCAGACTATTACAAAAATAATATTTTTTGAAAATAACAATTCAACCATTGTGTCTATTTTTTATTAATCATAAAAAAATTTCACTCCTGGCATTGAAGGTAATAGTCTTCTCTGTCCTCAGGAATTTTCCCCATCATTGTCCTCACCCACAAGACAAGCGGTAACTTCGCCAAGTTCCGTGATCTGTTTGAAGGGATGGGGGCGGAGGAGATCATTCAGGTGGAGAACTACACGACGGAGGACCACACTGAGACCCGGGGAAGACACCTTCAATTCCTGACCCTGATGTACAAAGTACTGGAAGACGTCAACTTTAAAATGCAGAAGAAAATCTACCCAAAAAAAGAACGGGCCGAACATAAAACTTTTCTGTATTCTTTTTTGCATAAAAGACAAGTAGTGAATAACAATCAGTACCAGCAGGTAGTTCAACAAGACCCTTTCCCTAAAAAGAGCATTAGAGGGTTGGGACAAACCATTTACCACCAATTAGGGTTCTTGCAATGATCAGCTTTTATATATTTATGTGAAATCTTTATCCAGAAAGAAAATAAACCGTTGAAAAAATATGAAAAATATCTTTTTTTTTGGAATGTTTATTTTATTTTCTTTGGTTAGTGTGTGGGCAGGGCCACTTCACCCTGCATTTGGTACCCACATTCATACAAATGTGAACCAGTTTCGTCAACCTGTTGAATAATAAAAAAAAGTGCTAAAGTGCAAATGTCAAATAAATAAATAAATTAAAACCCAGAAAAGTGTTGCTATCTAATTCATATACAAAACTGTATGACTGTGCAAAAAAAGCATAAACTGTACACACAGAAAATACTGTGTGCAAAAGTACAAATTTTAAATAAATCCTAAAAATCATAACTTTCATCCATAGTCAAAATATCCATAAAGTACATCAGTCTCTAGAAAAGTCGATAGGCGTTCCCAGTGAGTAAACGTGCAGCTATAGCGCCATCTATCAGTACTTGTGCTCAGGTGTCAACCTCCCCACCCGGATGAGAACTTGCCAAAAAGGTCTAAAGCTTTATTTTTGTGTGCCGCTTTATCTCAAGGCTGCTCTCTGCTTCTTATTCAGACAATATAATTCCGAATTCCGAAATTATTTTCTTTTGAAAATTGTAACTAAGAATTTTCGCTCAAATTTCGCACCATTAGCCACAGCAACAGCCGATTTTCGAGCGACCATCGAATTTGAGTGATGGGGCACATGGAGATTTTTTAAAAAACTAACTACTTTCGAATCAATGATGGGAGAATCATGCGAGAAATATAATCAAAAAAGAAATGAGCGTGAGCTGTGACCCGGAAAGAAAAAAATATTCCTGGCCAAGAAAAGGAACAAGAGGTGAAATTTAAGGATTGATTGGTCGAATTTCAAAATCAGAGGTGGCATCATTGGATTACATAACGCACAAAATTTTAAATTTTCTAAAGAAAATTTGTTCAGAATTTGACCTATATAGAGCCTGTATTAGTCTCTCGCACCAAACTTTTCCACGAGCCCCTCTCCTCTGCTCACATTTTTTGACGCTGTTCAGGACTACTGGTATGGAACCAGCTTATCCTCCTCTGCACATCATCACAAAGATACAGAGCTGTTTGTAAATATACTGCACCTATCCTCTAGAGCACGGGTGTCAAACTGGTGGCCCTCCAGCTGTTGCCAAACTACAAGTCCCATGAGGCACTGCACAATTGACAGTTACAAGCATGATTCCCAAAGGCAGAGGCATGATGGGACTTGTAGTTTCACAACAGTTGGAGAGTCTCTAGTTTGACACTCCTGCTCTAGAGCAAGGATCTCCAAACTATGGCCCTCCAGGTGTTGAGGAACTGCAAGTCCCATGAGGTCTTGCAAGACTCTGACAGCCACATGCAAGACTCCCAGAGGCAGAGGCATGATGGGACCTGTAGTACTTCAACAGCTGGAGGGCCATAGTTTGAAGAGACTCCTGTTCTAGAGGGAGCATCACTGCTTCTCCTGCTCTCTACAGAGCTGGTGGGCATTCCAGCTTTGGCCCAGAAGTAACATCACTACAGACTGTCAGGGATCGCGGCGTCCTGTCGGCCGGCGCATGCGCGCTGGCGACGGCTCACGTCGGGACACAAGCACCAGGTCCCGGCGAGCCGCAGATGACAGGACGCCGTGCGCATGCGCAGTGGGAGCCGCGGGCGCGCCTCGGGCGGCCAATGACAGCCCGGGGGCGCGTCCCGGGCGGCCAAAGACAGTGCAGGGCGCAATATTTAAAGACGCCCTGCACTGTCACTGATCGCCGCAAGGTCTATCTGAGTTCCTGAGTCCTGTACCTGTGTTATTGACCCTGATTAACCCTGACTACTCTGCATTCTCCTGTGTTTGACCCGAATTGTTCCTGACTACTCTGCCTTCTCCCATCCTGACCCCCGGCTTGTTTGACCTATCTACGGACTGACTTATCCTGCTGACCCTGCATGTGACCTGCCGATTCTCCGCCTGCCGATTCTGTACCTCGCCTACCCCACGGGCCCACTACTCGTGATCCATCCCGCTAGGTCCTGCCGGCCTCCTCACATCTGGCTCTCCCGGTACCAATACATCCCCGGAGGTTCCCTCTGCCACTGGTGGGCCTGCTCAGAGGTCGTGACCTGGTCCTGGTCTGTTTCAAGTCCATCCCCACCATCAGGGGCCCTGGTGAAAGCACAGACCAGGACTTAGACTCCACGCTTTGGGTAGGTCTGTCAAGTGGGCAGCCAGAGGCACCACCTGGCGGATCCTAACACAGACACTCCATCCCAACGCGTTTCATCCAATATAGATGTCTATAGGAAGCGATGTCTCAGTGGCTCACTCCTTCACTTAAATGTACGTCACTTAACCCTTCATTTACCTCTTATCTGCTGCTACCCTCTTATGTATGCCAATGCCTGTTCTACTGCAGCTCAAACTTTAATAATTCATTACAAAAATAACTAGGGGACATATAAAAATGTTTTTTATAATGTTAAAAAACAATCTGAATACAGCTATACAAACCTATTTACTCTTCCACTAATATCTTCCATATGATGACACCTAGTGGCTAAGTAAGCTGATATCAGCCCCATACACAAGCAGATATTGGTCATAGATAACTAATTTTTTTTCCCCACTTAAATAAATTGGCAAAAAATTGAGATCAAATTGATCTTTTTGAGCAGTTCTAATACATGTTTGATTTAACCAAATGTAACAGGTAACACTTTGATGATAGTAGTAAACCCTAGATCGCTCAAAAGTTGGAAATTAAGCAATTTAAATCTTTTTTCATTTTGAGACCCGATGAATTCAAAGTATTGAAATAGATATATAGTGCATTCGCTCAAAGTATTGGAAGTCTATAAACCAAATGTAGTAAACAAAGAAGCAAAAAGTTTTAAATCCTTCATGAATGCCTTCATTCTTTATGGTATAGATTCAACAAAGTGTTGTGAAACGTCCTCTTTTGGTCAATAATAGGTGAGTTACTGTTGCCTTTCTATGGATAAAGCGCAGTCTGCACCACCTCCTCTGAGGAGCATCAGCACCTGTGATTTTCCTGCACACAACTGCCGTGACCACTGGAGGTCCGGTTTTCTTTTGGTGCCAGGTCATTGCATGTAAACCCTTTTTTATTGCTTTTATTGACAATATAAGTACACGGTGTACCCCAGCCTGTTTGGCATCCAACTTGTGACCTAATAAAATCCATTTGAAACCTTTCTACACTATTGGCACTCCCTTTCTGTTTTTCACCCTCTCTCCGAGGAGTTTCAGATCATTGGCTGATTAGCAATTTGTGTTCCCTGTGCACCTAATGCATCCAAGGAGCTCATCCTGCCCCTCACTATTCACTGGCTCCAAAATGTTTTACTCCATCTATCGCCCACAATGGGCAAACTACGGCCCGCTGATGATCCCTTTGAGGGATGGTCCGTAGGACTGGCTGATCACCTTCAGATAGGCTCACATACATGCGCATTTTAAATGTGCGGTTGGTGATCTGTCCGCATTTTATCCATATGGTTCCAGTCACCTATTTTTGACATAGAGAGGATTCTCACTGCAAGTTTTTTTTAAAAAACCCTTGTCGCATTCATGGAGGATTTATGAACTTTTTGCTTCTTTGTTTATACATTTGTTTATAGACTTCCAATACAGCGCTTGCACTATATATTTCAATACTTATGATATGAGATCTGGTGATTACTTTGAGTGTCCTAGCAGCTGATGTATTATATGGGGGATGAATTACTATATGGGGGTATGCTATTGGGGGATGAATTACTTTTTACTATTTGGGTGATGAATTCAACTATTCATTTCATAATTCATCAGGTTTGATTCCTCAAAGTACACTACACCGGACACTTTATTAGGTCCACCTTGCTATACCGGGTTGGATCATTTTTTGGGGGATCAGAACTGCCTTCATTCTTTATGGGGGATAGATTCAACAAAGTGTTGGAAACATTACTCATAGAGATTTTGGTCCATATTGGGGACATGAGTTACTACTGTTGCCTTTCTATATCATCAGACCAGTCTGCCCATTACTCCTCTGACCCCTGACATCAACAAGGGGGGATTTTTACTCCACACAACTGCCTCTCACTGGATATTTTCTCTTTTTCAGAATTATTCTCTGTAAACCCTAGAGATGGTTTTGTATGAAAATCCCTAAGATCAGCGGGGATTGAAATACTCAGACCAGCCCGTCTGGGGGATGAATTACTATAGGGGGGATGAATTACTATGGGTCAAAGTCACTTAAATCCCCTTTCTTCCCCATTCTGAATTACTCGGTGGGGGTTGAATTCAGAAAGTTGAATTTCACCACGTCTAGATGACTGAAACATTGAGTTTCTGCCATGGGGATTAATTACTGATGCTAGCAATTTGTGTTAACAACCAGGATGGGCCTAATAATTGGCCAGTTGAGTGTATCTCTGTTCATATTCACTCCCCTCCAAAATGTATTTACTCCATCTAACCTGTAAAAATTCAACTAGCTTGGGTCTTTAGTGTGCATTAATCTAAGATAGTCAGATACACTGTGCTTTTTGTACCCTTTTATTATATTATTGATATGTTCATTTTATTCTCAGCGACCGTTTTCTTGTAGTTCTCCCAAGTACTGCAGGCCACATGGGCCACAGGATGAATGGAAGACCCACACACAAAGGTATCCCTATGGGAGAGGATGTCAGAACCTCAGACAAGTATGACTGAACACAGCAGAGACACCCCGCAATGAAGGGGGGGGGAT